AAAAGACAGGTGGAGGCATGGCTTAATTTGTAGAGTCCTCATTGTGAGTGGAAAAGCCAAGAAAGAACCGTGACAGGGGTGATACTGTTCAAGATGCATGGTACTCAAAAACTGACATGTTGAATGGTAACCCCTTTGTACAACTTCTTACAGATAATAAAAATATAATGAAAAAATAAAGCCAAGTGAGAGCTCAAGACTCTTGAGTTCAACCCTCTTAATCCCCCACTCCATACTGCAGGAAAGAAAACAAAGGTGAAGTGAAGACGATGAAATTTCATGTTTCTGGAGGTTTTAATAGGAATACTGTATATCATATCTTTTTAAAAGGCTTCATGGTAACTTGTTACCCATTGAAGGGAATGATTAGATAAAATAGATAAAATGGGGGAAAAGTTTGTAACTTAAACAACAAGAACAAATATATATATATATGTCACGGTTCTTTCTTGGCTTTTCCACTCACAATGAGGACTCTACAAATTAAGCCATGCCTGCACCTGTCTTTTTGCTGGTTATCTGGAGAAAAGAGTTTCTCTGATTTGTCTGCCCAGAATAGCTTAAAACCTCAATCTTCAGATCTCTGCCTCCAAGTAAAGAGGATTACAGGCATAAGCCACTGACACCTGGGTCTTCTTTTATTCTTCAGCACTCTCACACTTGAGTATAAATTTAAAAACCTATCCTATTATTATACAATCTTCCCAAATTATGCTTTTAAAAGGGTATAGTCATTTTAAGTGGAAAGAACCAAAAGAGAGTTGCAAACCCAGAGCTAAAGGAAAAGGGTTTAGAGAAAGAAAAAGAAGGAAAAAGAGGCTTTGTGCTTAAAGATAGCCTTATATATGTTACTTCCTTAAATATATATATATACACACACACACAAGGTAAATATATATATATATATATGTTCTTGTTGTTTTTCCCTTATACCCAGAAAGTACAATTGTACTTTGTTCTCTGTTATTTGGGGACACTTACTTCAAAGTGCTTAATGAGTTAATTAAGACTCATCCTTTTGGTGATTACTTTTTTAAACTTGAGTGCTTTGAAGATGATTATTCTATCACTTCTCTCCTTACTGAATGTTGCCTGACTATTTCCTTTTTGCGCTTCTTTACTTCTTCCTGCCTAGAGCCAACTCTTCCTATTCAAAACCAGCTTGCTTTGTTTTCCTCCTTTGAACCATAGTTATTTTTCTTATTTCTGAATTTGGAATTTAATCTGTTTCATACTCCAGGGTGAGCATAGTTTTCCATCTCGAACTACTTTTTTTTTTTTTTTTTTTTTTTGCTGGTCCTAGGGCTTGAACAATGGTCCTAGGAGCTGTCCCTAAGCTCCCTTTGCTCAAGGCTGGCAGTCTACTACTTGAGCCACAGTTCCACTTCCAGCCTTTTCTGTGATTAATTGGAGATAAGAGCTTGCTGGCTTCCAAGTCTAGATCCTTAGATCTCAGCCTCCTGTGTAGCTAGGATTTCAGGCATGAGCCACAGGTGCCCAGCTGGAATGCCTTCTTAATTAACATTGATGCCACATAGTAGAATACACCATACTTTGGCTGGCAAATGTCAGTTGGGAAAGTTTATAATCACTATTTTGAGAAAATGCATAGCATTAGCAATTCCATGATATTTTATGAAATTTGCAAGTTTTTTTTTTTTTTTCTGGAAGTTATAAGATTGGTGCTTGTAGTTAATAGGAGTAGAAAAGGGAGTTGACTGGATTGTCTCCAGGTAATACAGAAAGAAGTGGCCTGGTCAGAGTTCTGTACACATAATCTAAGGGGCCTTTGTCTTTTAAATAATTAATGTTTTTAGCTTTCAGAAAGCTGTTAGGTTAAGGAATCTCAAGTTCTACCTGCCTTTGTATTCCATGATAACTTAGTGATGAGGAAATGGAAAACGTCTGCCAGAGTCTAACCTCCATTTACAGATGAAACTGAGACCTAAAGAAACAAACCAAAGGATCACACAGCTGAATTTGTAATAAAAAATCTTAGCTTTCCAATTTTTTTCAAGTGTTTCTCATCAAATAAGATATAAATTTGTGTTTCTTTAGTTTTTTTGTGGTTTTTTTTTTAGTTCTTACACAAGGTAAATATGACATAAATTAAGATTCTTATGGAAACAAGGTGGTAATGCATAGGTAAGAACAAATTAGAATATCTGCTGGTTTTTAGTTAGCCCATTTGGTTATTTAGTTCTCTAAACTCGATCACATTTGAATATAGAGAGAAGGTTCTAACTCTACAAAGGAAGGACATGATACAAATTGAGCTGGCTTTGGGAATTACTGAACATTTAAAAAGGTAATTATGCATGTTAATGAGGTATGAGAAACAAAGTTATGTACCTTGCAGGAATGATGCTGTAAATTCCCTAGAGGAAAATTACTATTTGTGTAGTTGGTTTTAAATTCATGTAGTATAATTCAGTGTACCAGTAGGTGTTTATATGTTTTCATTTTTGATACATATATCAATCTATAGTTTATATGTAGCAAAAGTACAGTTCAAGTAAATATGCACAATATGTAAACACTGCCATCTATAATATATAGAATATTTTTATCATCCTAAAAGTATGTATTCCCTTGTATTCCTTGCCAGGAAACCCCTGCAAAATAATTTTGCCTTTGCAAAAAGTTATATACATGGAGTTGTGACAACATTTAGCATTTTGATTTTAACTTTCATCAAAATGCTGTGAGATTTATACACATTGTTCTAAGATAGTTCTTTTTTTTTTTTTTATTGGTTGTGAGGCTTGAACTCTGGGTCTGATTACTGTCCCTGATCTCTTCATCTCAAGCCTAGCACTCTACCACTTGAGCCACAGTGTCACTTCCAGTTTTCTGGTGGTTTATTGAAGATAAGAGTCTTATGGACTTTCCTGCCCAGGCTGGCTTTGAACCTTGATCTTCAGATCTCTCAGCCTCCTGAGTAGCTAGGATTACAGGTGTAAGCCACCAACGCCCAGCTAGTTCCTTTTTATTGCTAAGTATATTCTGCCAAATAAAATGTTCTAGAATTTACTGAACCATTTACTATGTGATGGAGATTTGTGTGAAAGTTTGAAGATTATTAGGAATAAAGCAACCATAAATATTCATATATAGATATTTGATTGCCTACTTTGGTCTGCAGCCAATACCCAGAGTTTATTTGAAATAAGAATCTCATGGACTTTTATGCCTGGGCTGGCTTCAAACTGCTACCCTTCTGAGTAGCTAGGATTACAGGCATGAGCCACTGGCACCCATCTCAACTAATTTTTTTTTTTAATGAACTTTGGTTTTTGTGGTTGGCGGTGGTATTTATCTTTGCTCTTTTTTTTTTTTTTTTTTTTTTGGTATTTTTAGGGAGGGTAAGGGGGGGGGGACACAAATGGAGGGAGGAGGGTGAACAAATGCAGTCATGAAATGTGCAACTTGTGGGCAGGGACAAGAGGAGGAAATGGGGAAGTGGAGGAAGGATGACATTGTCCAAAAAGAATGGTACTCATTACCTGACTTATGGCATGGTAACCCCTCTCTATAAAATCTTAACAATGATAAAACTGTATTTTAAAATCACATGTTCTCCAAAATGTGTATTGTTTTAACAATGGACATTTTTTTTCTGTGTTAACAATGTATGAGATTTCCTGTTGTTTCTCATTCTTGCTAGTACTTGGTATCATCAATCTTCCTGATTTTTACTTTCAATCAAAATTCCACTAATTTGAATTTGCACTTCTAATGTCTAATGATATTGACCATTCTCTCAGATTTTTCACCTGACCTTTGAATATCTTTTTTGGTGAAGTGTCTTTTCAAGTATTTACTTGTTACAAAGTGAAGTTATTTGTCATATTACTGAGTCTTTGGAGTTCTTTTTTTTAAATTTATTTTAGAGTTCTTAATAATTCTAGATCCAGGGCTGGAAAGGTGGCTCAGTGGTAGAGTGCTTGGCTCACATTCATGAGGCCCTGGGTTTGATTCCTCAGCACCACATAAGCAGAAAAAGCTGGAAGTGGGCTCACGTGGTAGAGTGCTAGCCTTGAGCTGAAGAGCTGAGGGACAGCTCTCAGGCCCAGAGTTCAAGCTCCATGACCAAAATAGATATACAATTCTAGATCTTACTATTCTTTTCTTCTAAATTATAGTATGCTTCCCCCTTCCCGCCCCCTGAATATGCCTTCAGAACAGAAGTTTTTTCAGCACTTTTTTCTTGATCTTTGTAGTTTTAAACTTAGCACAAGTTTTTAGTTGGTACTGGGGTTTGAACTCAGAACCTCACACTTACTAGGCAGGGTCGATGGACCGTGCCTTGAAGTTATTTTTATATGCTGATTACTTTGTAGATGATGGGGTCTTTCTGTCAAGGCTTGTTCTTAGACTGTGGTTCTGCCTGTTCTTGTCATAGCAAGGACACAAGTGTGTGTGTATCATCATGCCCAGCTTTTTCCATTGAGATGGTATGTGTGAACTTTCCTGTCCATGCCAGCCTAGAACCTCGATCCTCTCTCAACCTTCCTCACATGGAGGATGACAGGCATATGCTTCTCTACCCAGTTATAGGTCGAGAAGGGTTTTTGAGAACTTTTCTTCTCTAGCAGGTCCCAAAACTCTATTACCCCGTTATTACATGGCCTCCTAAGTAGTCAGGATTATAGACAGTAGTTAGGATTACAGACTGGTACCTGCTAGTTTAAGACCAGTGGAATAAAGAATATTTTGAAAAACCTGATAGAGAGTTCCTTGACTTCAGTACTGTCACACAAAAAATATATTAACTTTCATGTGTAACCTACCCTTTCCGTATTTAAACACGCTACTAATGTTGTGAAAGAGAAATGTGTAATATGTCTAAAGGTAAAACTTTTAACTTATCGGGTATATTTTGGAAGTTTCTTTTGTGTCTTAGAAACAAAGTTTTTCTTTATGTTCAAGACAGTATGCAAATATTTGAATTACTTGTTAAAATATTCCCGCTAATCTGTTTTACTCCTTTATTCCAGTGTTATCCAAGATAAATTCTGTGGGATTATTAATATTTCAGTGGAGGGCCTACATGATGTCATGACAGAAGACCCTGAAACAAGAACTTACAAAGAGTGAGTGGATGATTTAATTAATATTTGGGATTGAGAAATAATGAAGTACATGCCTCATGGTTTTTGTTTACCATTAACCCTATAAGCATAATGTGGAAACATGGCAATTTTGTCTTATAGTAAAAGTTTTCGTTCATTAGTTAGCCTTTAGAATTTAATATTTGATCTTAGAATCACCTTTATTATGTAACTATCATATTCTGAATTGGGCTTTTTGAATAATCATTGTTTTTGAATTTCACTTTAGATTTTTAAGAAATTCCAAGTATATTTTGGTATATACATTCCTTTTTAAAGATATTTCAGTATTTTTTTTCTCTTTTAATCTTAGAATGTTTACTTAGCCTTAAGGAAGGAAACTCAGAGGGAACTGGAATAGGCTGCTTAGTATATTTATTGAAGCATCTCTGGTACCTTTTAGGTATTCAGGGGTCATGTGGTAATTGACTAATTCTAAAAAGTAATAGATTAAATAAATTATGTTCTTGAATGAATAATTAGTAAAACTGTATGACCAGAAACATCGATAATTTACTGATAATTTAAATTTCTCTTATGTTTAAATCAAGCATTATATCTTTTTGTGATTAGAATTATTCATTTCCATTTCTTAATATTATTAATAAAGGCGATATCTCTTGTAATGATAATAAAGGCTTGATGGAATTCTGAACTGCTTGACTTCTTTTAACACTGAACCTGTTTTCTTCAGTCATTTTGAAGCTTTTTATGGCATATGGGAAAAATGGCCATTTCTATCCTCTTTTGTTAAAAAATAAGTAAAGCAGATACATGTTCTTGAATCTTACTAAATATGCCTGACATATCACTTAATTTTGGGGAAAACAGCAGTCATATGAAGCAGAAACATCAACCTTGTGTCTACAAACCAAAATACTTGATATAAGCAAGTTAGAAGGTGAAAGATGTACTCCAGCTCATAATTTTTGAGGGTTTAGTCCATGGTTGCTTGGTTTTATGTGCTTGGGCAGAATACCCTGGTGAGAATGTGTGGTGGTCACGAGCACAAAGGGCATATAGGGAGGAACCAGAGCAAGATGTGGCCTTAAAGATATGTCCCCCCCAGTGATATGCCACCTAAAGTTTCTAGAACCTCTAAAATAATAGCACTAGCAGGGGACCAATGTTCGACGGATTAGCCTGTGGGAGACATTCCATACTCAAACCGAAACAAAGTGGGGTGTTAAGGCAGTTTTTGTGTGTGTGTGTGTGTGTGTGTTGGTCCTGGCTCTTGAACTCAGGACCTGTTGCTGAGTTTTTTGCTCAAGGCTATCACTCTACCATTTGACCCAAAGCTCTACTTCCAGCTTTTGGTGGTTAATTGGAGATAAGAGTCTCAGATTTTTCTGTTCAGGCTGGCTTTGAATCCTGATCCTCTGATCTCTACCTCCTAAGTAGTTAGGATTACAGGCCACCAGTACCCAGCTTTAGGTAATTTTTAAAAATAGGATTTAACTAGTTAACAATAAGTTTATGACACAAAACTATAAATAATGTGTTTTTATACAATGGGTGATTGTAAAATGTTTGTGTTATGTTCTGATGTCCCCTGTCCTCTTTGGAGTATATAATTTTCAGCTTAGAGGAGGCATAACTAATAACAGAATGAAGTAATGAATACAAGAAGTTACATGTTTTATGAGTTAAGAGTTTCAGGCAAAGAGAAAATAGGAAGTAGAACAAAATTATGCCATTTTAACTGGAAGAGAGGAGAATCTGGAATCTGTTAGAAATAAAGTAGAACTTACCTATTACAGTGAGATAAAACTACAATCAGGATACCAAGGCTCAGGAATATATCGTAATGTAGCAAAGTTTATAAAAATGTCAAGACTAGAAAGGTCTTATTCAATATGCAAAGTTGAGCATGAATAAAATGTTTCTGGCTGGAAAGGCAAATGTTGTAAGTAAGGAAAGCAAACTGTGGAACCAAAGTGGAAAGCCCTAAATGCAACTGTTGTTATTCTTGGGTAACTAGGCCATATGATCATAGTTACTAGACTGTTTGACCATTGACTAGGTTCTTCCCCACAACCGTTTGAAGATTGAATTTTAACCATGGGATGGTAGTATGTATGTATAGGTGTCTGAGGGGAAAACAAGTTACCTTCCTTTTCATAATCTCAGTTTCTAAGACTTTATTCTAGACTTTGATAAATTTTCCTTGTTTATGAATTAAGTAGTCCCATAAGACTATAGGCATAGACTGTCAGAAAAGTTGATAGGAGAAGCATATAACATATTTCCTTATGTAGTTAACTCAGCTTCTAGCTTCCCCTTCATGTTTATTGAATCCAAACAAAGCTAATCCTTTGGGTTCTGTTAAATTTTTCTGTAGTCTCACTTGAGAATGAATTAGAACAAAGGATAAAACCTCACCGAAGTAGTATTTTAAGATTCTTTAGAGAAACAAAAAAAGACACACACAAACACATATACACACAAAGATGAGCATGCTAAAAAATCCAGGAGATAGGACTAGTTTTCAGTATCTTCACTTGAAACATGTAAAGAATGAATTTTTTTTCATAGAATAAAATTTTGTTTTATCTATTTTTTGTTATAAAGGTAATGTATAGAGGGGTTATATAGTTCCATAAGTAAGATAATGAATATATTAATTTTAATATATATTTTTTTATTTTTTTATTGTAAAGATACTGTACAAAGGGGTTACAGTTATATGAGTAAGGTAATGAGAACATTTCCTATCGATCATTGTTACTCCCTCCTTTGTTTATTCTCCACCATCCCTTCCCTCCCCATCTCCCCAACTTCTCCCATTCCCCCCACTTCCAAAGCTGTAAAGTTTGTTTTCAACATAGTGTCTTGTACATCTCATTGTTACAATGGGTCAACCTGTATCCTTATTTCAGCATTCTGTTATTTCCCTTCCCCAAATTAGAAAAACGTATATACAAGATGCAGGGCGCTGGAATCAAATACAGTGAAAACAGGGGTTATACCATGGGGGAAGAACATACAAAAGAAAAAAAAAGTTCACACAGTACATTACAAATACATTTAAAAACAACAGCAAGAAAGATAAAACCTCGTGTCCCCGTCTTGTGGTTCATTTTGCTTAGCATCATCTTGTCTGGCTTTTTTTTTTTTTTTTCTGCTTCTGTGGTGCTGAGGAATCGAACCCAGGGCCTCATGCATGCACGGCAAGCACTCTACCACTGAGCCACCTACCCAGCCCTGGTTAGCATCATCTTGTATGGTCATATGTTCATAGCTTTTAACCTCTATAGTATGTGTAATAAGTTGAGCTACCTAGTTAAGTAACCTATGAGAAAGATGAAGAATTTGGGGCTGTTTTCTCTAATTAGTGGAACTCCACAGGTGATTTTAAAGCTTCTAAGCTTCTAAGTAACATCAGATTTATAATTAGAAATCCCTTTTTTAGTTATAGTCCTATGTATCAGAAGATTTGGAAGTAGGACAATAGGACTTGCATTGAAACAGGAGCCCTGACAATACATATAACCTTTAGGAATTGAGAATTGACTTCACTGGTGGTAGGAAGACCCAGATAACAAGTAATCTAGTCCCTGAGAACAATGATGAGCTTGAGATGGGCTTCAACAGGAAGGACTGGCAGAAGTTGGTAACAAGTAGGGATGGCTAGAGAGAATTAAAAGATTTGCAGTTTGGTGACATGCATATATAACTTTTAAGAAATAATTTACTATACCCAGGAGCCTATTCTTATTTTCACACTTTAATATGCCCTCATAACCTATTCATATAGACATTTAAAATTTGAACATGTTTCCTGTGGAAAAAAGTAGACGTGAATATTTATTTGCACTCTAATTCCTATTTATTTATTTATTTATTTGGGTCTGGTCGTGGGGCCTGAACTCTGGGCCTGGGCACTGTCCCTCGGCTCTTCAGCTCAAGGCTAGCGCTCTACCACGTGAGCCACAGTGCCACTTCCGGCTTTTTTTCTTTTTGCTTATGTGGTGCTGAGGAATCAAACCCAGGTCCTCATGCATGCAAGGCAAGCACTCTACCACTGAGCCACCTTCCCAGCCCCCCTGTTTTTTATTTTTGTAAATAGCTATTTGGATTTTTAAAATTATGTTTAATTGTACCAAGGAGTTGTCATTCAACAAAGCAGTTTATGAATGTAATGCAACTTGGTCGGTGTCACCCCTTCCACCATTCTCTCTTAACCCTTAATTTTGAAGTCAGTTGCACGGGATAAGAGAGATAGAAATATAAGGAGGATACCCTATTGGTATTTGGGCCTGATACAAGTCAGTGCTCAGAGTAATTTCTGTCTTCTGGTACTCCCCATACCACTAACAGTGTTAGCACCAGTGTTTTTGAAAGAGCATTACTGGGGAAATTGTGAGAAATGTAGTCTCAGACCCCACTCAGTCCTGCTGAATTAGGAACTTGGGGCGGCAGCCAACAGTCAATACTGAAACAGAGCCCTCCAGATGACCAGTGTAACCTCTAGTTTGAGGCTTGTTAATAATGGCTCTCAAGAGTGTGATTTGTACACTTGCCTTTGGTTATGAGTAGGCTCCAGATAGAGTAGGACAGGGCTTATTTAGGAGGCCTCCTCTGGTTTTGTGAAGGCTACAGTAAGCTCCTAAATTAAATAGGGAAAAGTTCATTTGTTCTAGGGAATTTTGAAAGCAAGTATCACTGCTTAGTAGTTGTTTGTAAATTCAGCTGTTTAAAAACAATGCTATGACTCAATTCAGATTAAGTGAAAGGTGTTGCTAATACTGGGTTTGAACCCTGGACCTTATACATCCTAGGCAAGTTCTCTACTGCTTAAGCTACACTCCTCCTCCACCTTATTACCTATTCCAAAGTTTTGTTTTTGAAATTGGCTCTAACTTTGCCCAGATTGGCCCTTCCTCCTGAGTAGTTGGGATTACATGTATATTACCCTGCCTCTTTCACAGATCCTTTTTAAAAAAATTAAATTACCCTTTAAAATTAAATTATCTTTTTAAAATAAATTATGTAAAGAGTTTCATATCACATGGACACTTCTTTGTTGTATTTGGCTGGTTGGAGTTAATTGTTGCAGAAGATTCTGATATAGCATGCTAGATACCTGACATAATTGATTTTGTGGATATTTGTGTTAGGCATTTCAATTTTAAACTATTGTTATTTCTGTTTTGTTAATATTACCATCGTTACATTCACAGCCAACACATTTTAGTTGAAGTCTATTCTCATGTGCTTTTAATTAAAGCATGATTGCCTGTGTTTAATATTGGTTGGCAAAATGAAATTTAACTTTTAATTACAGATTTTCCTGTAGGAGTTTCAGCTTTGAGTTTTTCAGTCACGAAAATGTTTTAGCGTTTGGGGCTGGAATGTAGCTCAGTGATTGAGAGCTTGCCTTCCATACTCAAGACTGACTCCTAGCACTACAATACACACACACACACACACACATACACACACACACACACACACACATACACACACACACACACACACACACACATTTGAATTTAGCACTTTCCTGAAGTCCAAATGAGTATAATGTACAGAGTTGCAAAGCAAAAATTGTCTTGTCTATGTGGGTAGTTTTGGTCATTGAATAAAAGTGGGGGGGGCCCATCTCTCTCTCTCTCTCTCTCTCTCTCTCTCTCTATCTATCTATATATAAACTACAAAATATGCTCCATAATAGTGTGATAAATATTTTAGCAGAGGGAAGACAGTAAATTTTGCAGGTCAGTGGAAGAGTTTATGCAAAATACAGTGCATGGAAACCTACATTTATTACAGCTAGAATTCAAGTCTGTGGTTGGCATAAAGTGGCTAGAATAGAGGATCCCTATCTTATTACTCAGCTCTGAAATACAGACTGGGATCTAGACTTTTCAAGACATTTCAGTTTATTAAATAGATTTGGTTTGATGTAGTACCATTGAATTTTCTTACCTTGTTTTGGAGTGCATTGGCCAACTACTTGTGCTCTGATCTATTATAATATCACAGTGAACAAAAAGCATTGCAGTATTGAGATCAAAGAACATACTGATCGAAATCTTGTGTATCAGGATTTCTTATTTCCAGTCTAAGGTTCTTATTGTTTGATCCCAGTAGCATTTGTGTCAAAAAATGTTGTTTTAGTGATGGGGAACAGAAGTGAAGAATACCCAAGTCCACTGGAGGAATGAGCCTGATCCAGTTTTCTGGCATCCATACCTGTGCTTAGCCTTAACTTAAAAGTTATTTAAGCCCAGTGCTGGTGGCTCATGCCTGTAATCCTAGCTATTCAGGAAGCCAAGATCTGAGACTCATAGTTCAAAGCCATCTCGGGCAGGAAAGTCCATGAGAATCTTATCTCCAATAAACCACTCAGAAAAGTGGAAGTGGCACTGGGACTTAAGTGGTGGCTTAGGTGGTAGAGCGCTAGCCTTGAGCTGAAAAGCTGAGGGACAGTGCCCAGGCCCAGAGTTCAAGCCCCATGACCGACCAAGAAAAAAAAAAAAAGTTATTTAAGTAGGTGAATTAGGAATTGCCCTTCACCTATACTTGATACAAAACATTAAAAAAAATTCCCTTGCCACGGTTTGTTGATTAGGAAGCTATGACTGATAATTTGTTGAAATCTCCTGTTCTAAATTGTCAACCCATGGGGTGTGTCCCATCAGTGATGATCCGCTAGATAATATTCACTTTTTGTCTTGATATAACTAGCATTGACTGGATAGAAACTGTTTCGATGATCTCTGCTAATGGTAGAGCACAGTGGTGTGGATAATCAAAATAAAATGACTTGTATCTGTACTGAAAGTCTCTGTGTGTCATCAGAGACAAATTACTTATAGTCTTGTAGTGTCATTCGAAGCACAAAACATATCGGTACATAATAGTGATCTAATAATAGTGTTATTTAGATTATTGCATATTGTATGTCTCCATACATAAGGGAAAAGAAGTTTGTGTTTCTTTTTTTTTTTTTGGGTCCGGTCGTGGGGCCTGAATTCTGGGCCTGGGCACTGTCCCTCAGCTCTTCAGCTCAAAGCTAGCGCTCTACCACTTGAGCCACAGCACCACTTCCGGCTTTTTTTCTTTTTGCTTATCTGGTGCTGAGGAATCAAACCCAGGGCCTCATACATGCAAGGCAAGCACTCTACCACTGAGCCACCTTCCCAGCCCAGAAGTTTGTGTTTCTAAAGTATCATTTTTACAGAAAGATACAAAGTGTGCAACTAGCATGTGTCTCCCATTTTAGAACATAGAAGCATTCCTGCTTTCAGTGATATTGAGGGCTAGGTTTTCTATGTTATAGATATGTTTATTTATTAAAAACAAAGATTTTTTAAAAATTGCAGCTGCATGTTAATGTCTCATCTTGAGGAACCAAAAGTAACAGAAGATGAAGAACCACCCACAGAACAAGATAAAAGGAAAAAGATGGTAAGTTACAAAACCACTGTCTAAAAATTAAAATTTCTATTACTATTATTCTTTTGTAAATATGACAGTTTCCAATGATCTGTTTGTACATACACATATTCCCATGCATACATTTATCCATCACTTGCAGGAGAATTAATGTTAGGTATCTGAGTTTTAAAACTTGGGAGTATATGCTCACCAGGTAAGTTATGTTCCTAGTCTAGAAAGTAGACCTAAAATAATTGTTGCATGTGTTAGAAAAACTAAAGCTTTACTTTTTTTTTGTCTGGTCGTGGAGCCTGAACTCTGGGCCTGGGCACTGTCCCTCAGCTCTTCAGCTCAAGGCTAGCGCTCTACCACTTGAGCCACAGTGCTACTTCTGGCTGTTTTCTTTTTGCTTATGTGGTGCTGAGGAATCGAACCCAGGGCCTCATGCATGCAAGGCAAGTGCTCTACCACTGAGCCACCTTTCCAACCCCTGAAGCTTTACTTTTACTTAATAAAAAATAAAATTCTCAAACCGTAAAGTTAAAATGCTTAATTTTCTCCTTTGAGGAAATTATTTTCATCCCTTATTGCTTTTTTGGATCTCTGCAGTGGACTTTTCCTGGTCTACATCTATTATAATAATACCCTTGAATAAACTGCTACCTTGTTTTGAAAGCCACTTATTTGCACTAGATGAATCATTTTTTTTAAAGTGAATAGGAAACATCAAAAATACATTACTTTTAGAAAGCCTTTAATTGTTTAATACTTACTTTGACCATGAATACAAAAGTAAGAGCCTTTGCTTTAGCATTTCCTGCTTGTGTTATGTCCTGTTTCCTTTGCAAATGAAAACAGCAATAGAACCTACTCATAAGTAGAATACATAAATGAAAACATAAATTGTTTGTGGAATAACAGTAAACACTACCTACTAATTTCTATTTGTTTCTGTCATTTTTCTTTGATCAATATATTCGAATAATTTCATACAAACCCTCAATATATAGCTAATACTGGCTACTCTAATAGCCTCTTTTTTCTTTTTTTTTGGGGGGGTGGAGTGGGGTGCTAATGGGGCTTGAACTCAGGCCCTCGGGTTTGCTTAGCTGGCACTCTATCACTTGAGCTATGTTTCTGACCTGACTTTTTGCTGGGTAGTTGAAAATAAAGTATGGTAAACTTTTCTGCTGTGCTAACTTCTTACCATGATCCTCTAGATTTCAGCCTCCTGAGTATCTAGGACTACAGGTATGAGCCACCAATGTCAGGCTCTGTTATCTTTTCAAGTATGTTTAGTTTATTTCATTTATAGCTGCCTCCTCTCTCCCTTTTTACCTCCCTTTCCCCTTAAAATGGAAAAAAAAAAGCAAAAACAAACACCATTCCAACCAACAATAAAAACAAAAAACCCTCATGTTTCCCTTTCCTGGAATTCATTTTGATAAATTGTATTTTAAATGTTCAGAGAAATTGCACCTTTGTGAGGGGCATTTAAAGATCAAATTCTATTCCTTTTTGTGCTGTTAGCTGTGACTTGAGCCAGCCACATTGTCTTTCTAGATCTTTCTAAGTTCAAGAAAATTAGATTAGTGAATTTCCAGGGCATATAAGCTGAATTTTTAAAAAATCTTTTTCAAAGTTCTCAATACCATTTTTATCATTTCCCAACATATAATGTTCATAGTATACTTCCAGAAGTTTCTCTCCATTGGAATGAGACTTGTTAATGTAATATCCTGAACTTGTGGCAAGTTTATTTTCTTTATGTACATTTTCTTTATTTATAGCCTCTTGATATAACTTTGTTTGGCTTTTCTCCACTCCTACTCCTACCCATCATTGGATATATCATTGGTGTTAAATAATCTATGATAATATTTTCCTTAACAAGATTCTTAACGTGTAAATGAATAACACATATTCAATCACTAGCTCTTGTGCAGACACATTTAGTTAATGTGGTAGATCTGCCCTTTATAAACTAAACTATCCAAATGTCATAACATCATATAGTAATTTGGTTTTCACTCTAGCTTTATACTTTTAAGGTGAATGAATGATTGACTTAAAGATTAGAGTAAAACTATATTTTTAATAACACTTAAAATTCCTTGATTCAGTTTTGGGATCCTAAATTTTATTTTTTTACTTATTACTATCTTGTTAAAGTTGTTCTGATTATATGTACTATTGATTTCTAGAACAACCATTACCATGTGAAGTTAATTAGATTGTGGTGTCATCTCTATTAAGATCCCCAGTGCTTTAGTCTTTTGGATACGTTAAAGGTACTACCCTAGTTTGTGAGAGATGGGGGTTAAATAGCTTAATATTAACTAAGTCTAATTATGAATATCATAACTTAAAAATGCTAGTTTTACTCATCTCTTCAGGGTTACAAGTATAAATCATACATTATATCATTCTTTTGCTGAAATGTCTTTAATACTAGACTTTTTAGAGAATTTTGAAGGGAAAGGAGAAACAATTGCTCATAGGTGGTTATGACCTATGGTTTTTAATGTAGCAGCAAAGGTTGCATTTATATTTAAAAATGACTTCCCTAGGAAGAAAAATCTAGTGCTGTTTAGTTAGAAGGTTACACAAAATAAATAAGTTTAAAGCCAACCTGAGTAACATAGTAAATTCCCCTTCACAAAAACCAAGGGCTGTGTGTGGATATAGCTCAGTAATAGAACATTTGCTTACCATGTGGACATGTGCAAGGTTCAGCATCACAAACAGGGGAAGAAAATAGCGTCAGATTTATCCCAAAAATCTTAGAAAAATTCTGTTGCAGTAGGTGATTTGCTATTAAAAACTGCAGTGTTGCAAGTGACATTAACAGAGTTTAAGAAGATAGGAAATGGGCTGGGAAGGTGGCTCAGTAGTAGAGCGCTTGCCTTGCATGCATGAGGCCCTGGGTTCCATTCTTCAGCACCACATAAGCAAAAAGCAAAAAAAAAAAAAAAAGCCGTAGTGGTACTGTGGCTCAAGTGGTAGAGTGCTAGCCTTGAGCTTAAGAGCGGAGGGACAGCGCTCAGGCCCAGAGTTCAGGCCCTACGACTGAATCAAAAAAAAAAAAAGAAGATAGGAAATAATGAAATAATCCAACTGAGATGCAGTAAAGTTACCCATAGATAACCAGACATTCTCCTGTGGTAGCAGTTCTTCCTGTGATAGAGTGAAAATATTAATCACAGAGGTTAAGACTTGTTACATCAAGTGAATTCATAGTAATCAAAAGACATTGGAAGAGAAAATTCTGTTGCAAGTGTCTTTGGAATTAAATAAAGTGATGGCTCTGAGTTTTTGTTTTGTTTTGGTTTTTATTTGAGAAGTCAAATTAATTGCCTGGTGGTGGTGTCAGTGTCCTTATTGAGTATTGACCCTTTCTTACTTGAGTGGTTGCTTTTAAAAAACCTTAATCAGAGTTTAGTAACTTTGCTGCTGATCACTTGGAAACTTTGGCAATGTAGTATTTGCTAAATGTAAAAAAAAAATTAGGTGTATAGAGGAAGAATATGGATGATTGGGGAAATTTACAAGAACATTTAATTATATTTGTGGTAGTTTTCCATATTTTCATCCCTGCCTGATTTTTTTCTCAGTAAACTACCAATAATACTAATTGTGTGTGTTTTTTTTAAATAACAGACCTGTATTTCAATGTAGACAAAATTAAATATCCTTTTTTTAAGAATTATATTATATATGGAAGTTACCATTTTGAAGAAAATTTTAAAAATTGTAAGCCTGTTACTGATTTTAAAACCACAAACAAATGATTATATGAAGCACCCTTTTCCCAAGAAAACCTTTACTAATATGGTATGTTATATAATTGTATACTATATTATATAATACATTATATTCTTCCGAAGGAGATTCCTGGGCAGTTGTGTTGAAATGCTCTTTAGCATGTTTTGTTCCTTTTAGGATTTTATTGCCTTAAGTAGGACAAGCTCTTGGCCCACGAGAAACTAGGCTAATCAGAACCCTAATCAGGCCCTTGTATTCAAAGGGCTATAGAAAACTGAGGCTAATCAATTAGTCAATTGAATGAGATCTTCTGCCCTGGGATTATTTTAGAATCCCTTCAAAGGAGAGAGGGAGAAGCAAAGTTGGGAAAGAGACTGCAAAGCTGCATATAGAGGAATTCGTTTTGCTTGTCTGATTGTCTGGCACTTCCTCTGTATCCACAGCTGGCCCTAAAGGATCCTGTGCACACGGTATCGCTGCAGCAGTTCATCTATGAGAAGCTCAAGGCACAGCAGGAGATGCTCGGAGAACAAGGCTTCCAGTCCCTCATGGAAACGGTGGACACAGAGATTGTCACCCAGCTTCAGGAGTTTTTGCAAGGATTCTAAGAGCACATGCCCTGTGCCGGCTGCCACAGCCGAATGAATACCCTAGCCCCCCACCTGTACGTGCGAGCCTGCTGAAGTGAAGTTGCTGTGGAGGTGAAGAAGGGAAGACCACGCATTATTTTTAAACTACAAAGTATAAATGTAAATCCCACATAACTAAAATCACAAACCTATTCCTTAAAAGAATTTAATTTTATATTTATAAAAGGCCCCATGTTTACTAGAGGTACATTTAATGACAATAGCTGCTTAGTTTCCTGGTAAGAAGAAAACTGTTTGATTACCTTTTAATCATGTACTTTTAACACAAGAAAGTGAAGATTAATGTCTGAGATGTTTTCTGCAACAAATTGGTTAAATTTGGCTGCTTTGTCCTTTTTCTAAGTCAATGAAACAAGTTTGAAAAATAGCAAAGCTGTTTAAAAAGTACAGCTAAAGAAATCTGTGCACCAGGCAAAAATACATATATAGTGACAAATGCATCTCTAAAATGTCTTGCAAGGGAGTTCTGACATAGAACACATGTTTTCTCAGACAAATACTTCTATTTTCTTTCCAGTAATTTGATAGAGGAACTAGTAAAGGCACTTTTTTTCTCATTTTATCTTCATTAACTATATTTAGTTATGTGCATGTACACTGTAAGGCAGCAGTGAAGCTGTGGTACAGCAGTACCAGATGGGAGACCTCCGGTCTTGTCTTGGTCCTCATTCCTTTGTTACTCCTGAGGGCCAGCAGCCCTGTGTGGGTGCTGAGAATTACTGGACAGCGCCCAGTCTCCCACGAGCCTGTGACAGGCAATCTGCAGGGCTGTCAAGCTTCACTGACATGGGTCTCAGAGGATCCTGCAGCAACCCTCGGGGTGGCAAACACTGATATCACCAGTCTTCCTTCCTTTCTCCATCATGCAGTACCTAGTAAGGGGGAAAGGAAAAAATAGAGCCTTACTTTGTTTCACTTGCCATTTGTTGTATTTTAAAGTATTTTTAGGAAATACTTAAAAGGAAGATTGGAAAATGTCTTATCTTTCTACAGAAAGTTGGATAAAGTATGTAAGTGTGGGAAATCCACTGCCCCTTTGTAAGCTGTGGAACCCAAGATGTCCGGGGATATTTGATGTTTTCAGCAAGAGAAAGAAAATGTGGCCCAATTAAATTTTCCAAAGATACCTCACCTTTGACTGATCTGTCTGATTATTTTTCTTGCATAAAAACTGCCTAGTGAATTAGAAAAGGAGGCTCTGCTCCTGCTGTATACTAGTAGGGGTAGTACTGCAGGAAATAGATCTGAGCTGCCCTTCATATCTCTTCATTTAAAGGCTGAATGCTTCTTAATGTGATATGTTTTTGCTATTATTCAGCCCTCAGTACTGATCTAAGAATGAATCTTCTAGGAGGCTTATTTTCATTTGAAGCATTATCTATCTCTATTAACATAATCAGAGACTTCCCAGACATGCTCTGGTTCTTCAGTTTTAGTAAAATTACCACCTTTACAATTCCTGACAGATTTCATTATAGTGCTATAGCAAATGTTACTAAAGCAGCTGCTTGGATGAAAAGGAAAAAAAAAAAGTAAAAATTTTGTCTTAAGGGAAGAATTTGGTTCATTTAAAAGAATGTATAGATTAAAATAAGCTTTGTTAAAAACTCAGAAAAAGAATAGATGTGTATTGAGTTTCTGTGCTCAGTTTGGACATAAAGATGTACAGAATTCTGTTCATTAACACAACTTTATAGCAAGTATATTAAGTTTTGGCCAAACAGTTTAACTACTGATATGAGGAATGATGGTTATTCTGTAAACATATTCTTTTTCAATGTATTTCCTATTTCAGACTTCTAACCATAAATGGAGAGTCCTTGATTAGTCAAAGATCCTTAACAACAGGAAGATTGTGCTCTTTGCTCCAGTTAATGCTTACATCCATCCCTTCTGGGCCTATCTGTCAGAATTGGTTTACTTAGTTGTGCTTTGATGAACAGTCTAATCCAGAAAGAAATGTGTGGATGTCTGGTCATCTAGCCCTTTTTTCCTTCAAAGTGAAACATTGACTTTTATGACACTTTAATTTTCTAGTAGGGCAAAATAGTATGCAAGGAACTGTTGGAAGATTTGTGAGCATAGGGAGGCTTAATACATTTCTATCTGTTGGCCACTAGGCAGGTTTTAAAGTAGAAAATTGGACTTATGGGCTAGAGTGGATTTTTCTTGCAAAGGGTTACAGCAATAAAAGCTGGAGAGAAGGCTGTGAGCAGAGCTGTGGGCAAGCACTTGCTTTTTCTTAATAGCTTTCACCTGAAGCTATATCGGCCTCTCATTCTAAAAGGGCAGGTCATTTCCACAGTTATCTCAGCTAGCCCCAGAGTGGTTTGGTTTCTTTTTTAATGAATGTTACGACTTAAGCAGTAATCTGGAAGAGTAAAACTTTTTGATTGACCGAGATGTTGTAGCTCATAAAAATGTTCACTGAGCTCAGAAATAGATTGACAGTCAGCCAGGGAAGGAATGTCTGTGACATATTTGGAGGTAATCAAGAACTAATTATGAGCTCCATTTAGTCAAGGACAGCAGCTACATTTCGTTTTTTCTCCTTTCTTTTTTTGATTGAAAGGCACATGTCTTGTGCTGCCTCTGGCAGTGAAATCAATACCTTGAAATGGCCTTTTCCTTTGAGCTTGTGTGCACCCTACTTACAGCGAGCGCATTGCAGTATTAAGCCAGGTGAAGCACATCCAGTGTCTTGCTGTAGGTACCAGGGGAGGCTGCTAAAGGTACACAATCAGGATATATGAAAACCCAGTGAAGTAACAGATGAGAGAATGGATTGTTTTAAAAGGCTCTTCCTTGTAAATAATTGCTAAAAAGGAAGAAGGTAGACTTACTGATTGACTTTATTTTCTACTAATAAAATTGCAGAACAGGAAAGACAAATGACTTATTCTAGCAGGATGATTTCACAGATGAAGAAACCTGGGTCCAGAAAGGTGAGGCCTGTGGCCCTGCATCCTGTGCACTTATTTTAACATACTCCCAATTATATTTCTTTTTTTTTAATTGCCTAAGTTTACAGTAGCATTTTAACTAATATAAATAATTCTGCTTTCAATTAACACTTTTTTTGTGTGTTCTATAGGTATCTTCTAATATGGTATTCCCAATTCCTCTCTAAGGAAGATGCTGTCATTTATTTCACTTTGCCATATGAATACATTATTACTCTAAACAATTATCTTTCAGACCTATTAGGAATTTTGAAAAACCAAAGATGATTTTACCTTCATTTATTTCTGATGTTCATCCTGAAACTGGAGTTGCTCTAACTCCAGGAGTTTCTCCTGGATTTTTACATGTCTGATGCAAGCACTGAACTCTACACACCAAATAAAGAGACATGGTTAAGGACAGAGACAGGAGATTTATTACATGGCAGCCACAGGAAGACAGCACTTCAATAAATCTTTAACTGCCTTTGGGGTACAGACAAGCCCCACACTCAAATGACAGGGAACTGGGGTAGGGGACGAGAGGTATGCATAATGAGTGAGCAGCCCAAAACAGATGTCACCCATTTTACCATGATCTCAGCCTTTTCTTTGGAGGAGTTCCAGGGAACAAGTTGATCACAATTACCTGGTCATTGTCTCCTGGCAGTCTGACCAGAACTTTTGACTGTTTTCTTCCTTGGGGGTACTGTTGAGTTCCTTGGGGTAAGTTTTCCTTTTCCTACAAAATGGTAAGAAGACATTGCCCATCTGAGGGGCAGTTTCCATTGTTACAAGATGGGTAAATCCTTTCCTTTCTTCTTTCCTTCCTTCCCTTCTTCCCTCAATTACTCCCTTTTTTTCCTCTCCTCTCCCCCTCCCCCTCCCTCCTTTCTTCCTGTCCTCCTTTCTTTCCTTATGGCTTGAAACTTCCAACTTTCCTGTCTCCTGAGTCCACAGTATACACCCAACTATATGTGCAGTTTCTGATGAAAACCTTAATATAATTTTTACCTTTATTCCTCTAAAATTAAAAATCCCCTCTCCAGCTTAATTCTTTAAGACATTTTTCTATCTTTGGCTCTCTGCAGTTTAAATATGATAAGACTAGGTATATTCTCCCCTCAATCCTGTTTATTTCTGTTATAGTGTTGTGAACTTGTAGCATTTACATTAGGATTAGTTCCTAGACTTTCTGTGTCAGTTTACGTTGCCTGTTTATTGCATGTTGTCTGCTTTTCTCATTTGATACCATTGTGTATCAAATGTAGTTATACCATTATGTATGTAATGTAGTTATTTCAAACTCCCTTCTGACAAGTCATATTAGTCCAGTTCTGAAGCTCACTAGGTCTTTTCTGACTTTTGCTTGCGGTGTAGCATGCCTTGTAGTTCTTGTGGCTGGCTGTTCATGTGTAATAATAGAAACTGTGGTATTTTGGCAGGGTTAGTGTTAAAGTCTAGGGACTGCTCTTTGATGCACTAATGTTGTGGCTTCAGTCTCCTCCAGTGCCCTTGATTTGTTTTTCCCCTTGACTTTGGGTTTACCTGCCTCCTCCTGAGGGATCCAGTGTCTTGTGGCCCTTTCTGTGGCCCTATATGTGAGGTAGAGGTCTGGGTCTGGAGAGAGAGTGTTCTTACTGCCTGATTCTCATGTCTGTATTTTTGTTTTGTTTTTGTTTTTTGTTTTTTTGTTTTGTGCTGTTCCTGAAGCTTGAACTCAGTGCCTGGACACTATCCCTGAGCTATTTTGCTTAAGGCTAGAGCTCTACCACTTGAGCCACAGCTCCATGTTTGGCTTTTTTTGGGGAGGAGGGGGGGGTCTGGTCGTGGGCCTGGGCGCTGTCCCTCAGCATTTTGGCTCAAGGCTAGTGCTCTACCACTTGAGCCACAGCGCCACTTCCGGCTTTTTTCTTTTTGCTTATGTGGTGCTGAGGAATCGAACCCAGGGCCTCATGCATGCAAGGCAAGCGCTCTACCACTGAGCCACCTTCCCCACCCCGGCTTTTTTTTTTGGTAGCTAATTTGAAATGAGTCTCACAGACTTTCCTGCCCAGACTTTGAACCCTGATTCTCAGATCTCAGCCTTATAAATAGATAGGATTACAAGTGAGAGCTACCAGTGCCTGGCTAAGTATCATGTAGTCTTTGTGGGTCTGAGACTTTCATTTGTCTTCTTGGAAAATGTTAGCCTGTCCTTCTGGGTAAAACAGGAAGAGAAGAAGGAGCTGGTATGTGAGAAGTGCCCATGCCCCTCCAGTCAGTGCATTGGGAGCAGGCTTTGGTTGTGGAGCAAACTCTGGGCTTATTTTAGTGGTAGTGGTGGTACTCTTCTCCTTCTGCCAGAACCCTGCAGGAATCCGTCTGTGATCTTTGCCATGAGAAACCCATGCATCATCTGCAGAAACTGCATAGAAGCAAGGGGTTTGCCTAACACCAAGACTGTGATCCTCCACATAACCTACCAGGTTGCTTGCCAGAGTTCCCCTTATCCCACATCCTTTAAGTAGATCTGAGCTGTAACTGGATTTCCCATTGTGACACATTTCGGGGAGACAATTTGCCTTGCAAATCAGTTTTCAGTCTGTCCAGTTTTTCTGGTAGGAATGTGAAAAGACTCCAAGTTCTTTGTGTTTTAGCTAAAACAAGAAATCTAGTCTCCATATGTCCTTCTGTTACATAAATAATCCAACTTGGTCATTAGTGAAGTAAAATTGCTCTAAATTATTTATTTAAAATTGCTCTAAATTATTGAGAGGTCAGTTCTTTTGAACTCAGGTTAGTGTACCATCTGATCCATACCGTTAGCTCACTTTCCTTTTGGTTATCTTTCAGAAAGGATCTCACTTTAGTCCGGGGCAAAAAGAAGGAAACATGATTATGACCCTCCTACCTGTTATTCTGTTGTAGCTGGGACTAGAGATAAGTATACCATCATGCCTAGCTTGTTTGTTGAGATGGACATTTTTATAAACTTTTTCCCCAGGCTGGCTTTGAATTGCTTTTTTCCAATCCACCTCCTAAGTAGCTAGGATTACAAGCATCAGCCACTGAGCCCCACCTTGTTTGATGTTTTTTTTTTTTTGGACATAGAACCTTAGAGGGCATACTTACCCTTTCTACCCTGAGGGGTGAGGAAGAGGGTCTTTGCCAGATACCACAAAATCTGTGATTCCTTGATGTTGGAAT